TGATAGCTTATAGTTGTTATATATCTTATACTACTTGAAGGATAAGAAAAAGAAAATTATCATTCCCAACAACGTTATTGGGAAACATTGTTGATTCGATGGATGTACATATTGAGAAGCTAAGGGTAAGATGAAGCAACCAAAGAAACTCTTCGATCTTCTAAATCAAATTTTCTCCTTTGACGGGGTGAGAGAATTTGATAGTAATCAAGTTTTAAATCTGATCTATTATATGATGAACTTCCTAATTGTTGGACACTTCCAATCGTGACACTAACAATAAGCATCGCCATTACACTCCCAAACATTGCAAGCTAGCGTGTTGATTAGTTGTTGGTATGTACGCCTTATAGATGCCTTGTATGAGAAGCATTACTTGAAAGGCATAAAAAGTGTAGCAAATGTAGTGTGGGTGGGAGTTGATGAGCTTCACAAGAAGTGGTTGGATGTTGAGCAAGAGAGAGAAGTGGCTGTCCTAGTAAATTCTGCAAAGGAGATTATTAAAGCTCTTATTGTTGAAGTTGAAAGGATTGTCATGGAGTTTTGGTGTGAGAAAAGAGGAAATTATCAAAATGGTCTCTCAACTATGTTGATTTCACCATTTTAGCAATCGTTATACCCTACATCACGGCGCGCGTAGCACTGTGCGCCGTGCGTCTCCCAAAACGACGTCGTTTTAGGGTTGTTTTGGGAGGTGCGTTAGGAAGTTGCTGTGATTATGTGTATTTGTTCACACAATTATCTGTATTTGTTCATACAGTTATGTACATTTTTTATACAATTATGTACATTCTTTTTATACATTTATGTACATCCGAATCAGAAAATTTGTGTGTATTATGTTAAGAGTTGATGTGTATTATGTTAAAAGTTTATGTTTATTATGTATTATGTTAGATTATGTGTATTATCTTTTAAAAAGAGTATGTATATTTTGTTATATAATTATGTACGTTCATGTATACAATTATGTGTATTCTTGTATAACATTATGTACATTTTTTAACAACGGGTTTTTTTTAAATAAAAAATTACTGTCATTCACTGGGGCGAGAAATTTAAAAAATAAATAAATAAATAAAACGACGTCGTTTTGCATCTGGGCGCACAGTGCAACGCGCGCCGTGGTGTAGGATATAAATTGCCCCATTTTGGTCCTAGTCATTTTAAATTGACTAATTAAATCCGTTGACTATGATCAATTTTTTTTTACCCAACATGGTCCTCCTGTGACTATTTGTATAGCATATGGGGTCCACTAACGTCACTTTGTTGGTCGATCGTCTGTTATTAGTGATACAATGACTTAGAATCTTAGACTACAATTTGAATGAGATACAATATGACTTAGACTTCAATGACTTGTCCACTTTGATTTTTGTTTAGGCAGAATATTGTTATCAAGCTGTAGTAGTGGCAATTGCAATGACAATTTGTTTATTCTATACAAATAGTCACCAAAGGACCATTTTAGGTAAAAAAAATAATAATAATAATAAAAAATTATAGTCGAAGGATTTAATTATATTAGTCAAGTTAAAATGACTAGAACCAAAATGGTGAAATCAACATAATCGAGGGACAATTTTGGTAATTTCCTCTGTGAGGAAAATAAAATTTTAGATGAAAATCCTCTCTTTTGGCTTTTACATGTCTTAAGTGCTAATCCAATGTACCATACCATTCTTCTCTGCTATGAAAATGATGAGTGCCAACCTGAAGAGATTTTTTGAAAGTTAATTTGCATGATTATATTGCAGACATATTGAGGGCTTGTCTTGCCAATTTTCCGCATATGAAAGCTACCAAGTGCACTTACAATGCCATAGAGAAAATGAAGAAAAATGTTCGTGAAGTAGTTATTCTTCTAGGTGAAACTGAGAATATCCTGAATCATTTCAAAAGTGTCAACTTACAAGCATTGGTCTCGACCATCCATTGTACATTGATGATTGGCGCTAATGGATGGAGAGACGAATCCCAACAATTTCAACTTTTGTGTCACACAATGGAGCACTCTCTACTATTCAGTCCATTCAGCATATGGTTGTTCAAGGGCTGGCTTGACAGCAATTGGAGAAAATTAAAACCTTAATCCACATGTTTTACACTTAGAGGGGTGGAATATAATTTTAATTCGGTGGGAAAAGAATAAAGTGGGAATATAGTATGAATTCAAATTACATTGTTTCGTATGGAAGAATAAAATTATTGTGAGTGGGAAGGGAAGAAGTGATATAAAGACTAAAACACCCCCTATATATGTAATAATAAAAATAATAACTACTAAGGGTAAAAAAATCTTTTTACTTATCTTTTTTTCCTTTCCATGCTTCATTGAATTGAATTCATAAGGGGGGTATGAATTCCAATTCAACAGAAGTATGGAATTACAATTCCCTCCAACCAAACCATGTAATTTGCCAAGTCAAAGAATTGCATGTAAAAGAATTGCAATTATGGTGTACCAAACACCCCCTAAGTTAATTTATCAATTTGAAAGTAACATTCATTTATAATTTGTTTATAAGGAAAATTGTAAAAAATACTCCTCTATAATATGTCAATTATCAATGTCACCCCTAAATTATGAGTGGTGTAAATGTTGCCCCTCAATTATCAAAACGGTACACATATAGCCCCTCCCGTAACGGACTTGTGGTTCCCCGTTAGTGTACACCTTTAAGTCGGGGTAAATATGTAATTTAATTGTTTTTTCCTTTTTTCTTTTTATATTTTCCCTTTTTCTTTCTCAGCCTCAACAAACAACAGTCCGGCTGCGAGCAGCGATGGAAGTGGCATGGACTCGATTGGTGGCGTCCAGTAGCGGTGGCGACAGACGAGCTTCGGCGAGACCCTCCCTCGATTTGAAGTACAAGATGGACAACGGCAAAGTCCAGCGACGTTCTCTGTTTCCAGTGTGAACGACAGCTACAGCGACACCAAGCTCGGACCTTGGTTTGTCTTCTTCCGGCGTGAACAAGTCGAGGCAGCGCGACAGAGCCTCCATCCTTCTCGTTCGACGTGGGCAGTATTCCTCGGTTAACGGCTCCATCTTCCAACGCGGCGTCCCCAGTTTCCGATAGAGCAGCGACAACAACCAACCTTGGCGGAACTCCGGCAACTTTGTACTATCCCGATGAGGCAACGTGGAGCTGGGACGACGGCAGTTGTGGTGAGCTTCCGGCGGAGCAGCGCTGAGCTGTGGCTGTGGCGGCTGTGGGCAGTGTGGGTAGCTACGGCGACGGTTGTGGGCTGTGTGGGTTGCTCGTCGCCAGACGGTTGTTTGTTGAGGCCGAGAAAGAAAAAGGAAAAAAAAACAAAGGGAAAATATAAAAAGAAAAAGGAAAAAACAACTAAATTAGATATTTACGGGAGGGGCTATATGTGCACCGTTTTGATAATTGAGGGGTAACATTTACACCACTCATAATTCAGGGTTGACATTGATAATTGGCATATTATAGAGGGGCATTTTTTACAATTTCTCCTTTGTTTATATTATCTTATTCATTATTTTTTTTTCTATTCTTAACTTCTCTCTAATGGGTTGTTTGGTTCACGGAATAGGCGTGGAATGGCATAACATTCCCAATAGTAGGCATATTCCTCTGTTTGGTAACCACTTGTATTCCCAGGACATTGTTCCCGGGAATGACCTATTCCCCTTGCAAGGGGAATAGAGATTCCTGGGGTCCCCTGGTATTAGGCTATTCCTGAGTTCTTGGGATTAGCCTAAAGTTTCTATTTTCTATTTTACCCCCCAATTAAATTTATTTCCTATTTCACCACCGCCACCATCACCACCAATGCCACCGCCGCCGCTACCACCACCATCACCACCAATGCCACCGCCACCGCTACCATGGTCATCGTCGTCGCCGCTGCCACCGCCGCCACCGCCACCGCCACTAGCACCACCACCGCCACAACCGCCGCCACTGCCACCACCACCATCTCACATATTTTTATAAATGTATTTATGTCTTTTAAAACATATTTCATTTCTATTCCTTAAATCAACCAAACATTGTAATGTAATCCTAAAGTCTATTCCTTCCGCGAACCAAACAATAGAATACAATTCATATTATATTCCTTGCATATTTCATTCCTTATAGAATGGAATTCATATTACCTCAAAATTGATTCCGTGAACCAAACGTGTTGTAATAGTGTTTGTATTTCTAACAAGTGAGACGGAGAAAGAGATCAAACAAGAAAAACACAGAAAACACTGCACATAATTGTATGCAACACCAAAAATCAATTGCTTTGATTCGATCCTAGCAATTTTTGGTTAAAAAAATAGTAAATCTTACTCACAATTTGGAGTAGCTTCTTCCCATATTGTCAATCGTTCTCACGTACATCGTTGATTTTGATCGAGAGAAAATTATTAAGGTTTATATAGCAAATTTGGGAAGCATATATATCAAATAATTGGTGATGATTTTTGTTTTGGGAGGAATATAATGAACTTTCATATTTATTTTTCCTCTGTATTAATTTTAACAGATATCTAATTAGTACAGATATCTAATTAGTTGAAGGACTAATTAAAATGGCTACTAAATGAACAATTCGGGATTAAATGAGGTCATATATATAAGTGTAACTAAGGGATTGGATTTACTATTATAACATAATTGAATGATTAAAAAGATTATTTTTCCATAATTTTATTATAAACCTAAGACACAATTCTATTTATTTAATTAGTAATTGCCAATTTTTTGAAACCTTATTACTCGGCCACAAAGTTTAGTTTTGTTCTCTAAGGATGGATGTGCCTGAGAACCACTTCATTCTCTGCAACTCTTTAAAATCTTCCTACATTCATCAACCAGATTATTGTAACTAGTAGTTGCACCCGTGAGGTGCACGGCAATATGTATACATAATTATCAAAAAATAAATGGATAGCGAAGTTGTTGAAATTTTATTAAACATTATTGAATACTTCTTTGTATACGACATTTGTAGTGGTTTTTTTTATTTTATTTTACATTTTCATCCCAAATAAGAATTTTTAATCCCTTAAGATTACTCCCTCTTGACACTGCTACATACAATTGACCATGATTAAAAACCGGTCTCTTCAAAAACAAACCCATGTTGGATAGTGTCTGACCTTGGCTTTTATTTATTGTCATTGCATATGACAACATTAGTGGGAATTGCTTCCTTTGGAACTTAAAAGGCAATCTTGGATCAGAAGGTGTTAAGGATATTCTTGGAATTAAGACCTTTGTACCGGCACTTGCACCACATAGTATTTGAGCTTCTAAAACATGATCTGCCAACTTTGAAATTATCATTCTTGTACCATTGCACAACCCCAATGAGTGAGCAATATTCCTCAGAAGCATAACTAGAGACCCAACTTTTAGAGTCAATGAGTGATTTGGAACTCCTGAACACCTTAATCCATTTAAAAATTCTGGAGTGTGCAAATCAGCAAGCATGTCAACATTTGAATCCGATTTACAGACCGAGTCACAACTGAGATACGTCCTTCCTTCGGCATTATTGTAGTCATTCATGTATTCATTTACTGCATCCACAATATCCAGTGTTGGTGCCAAAATAGCACTATCTTTTAGGTATTGAATATCACTATGACCTCTGCGAAACATAGGGAATATGCTATCAACAATTGTAGAAATTGGATCCTTAACACAAGTTAGCACAAATTCTTCAGGAATATTTATCTCACATTCTCCATGCAAAGACTCACCAATTGTTCCATCACCTATATTAGCAATCCACTTTGCAAATTTTTCAATCTGTTGAACTTCAGTTTCTGATTGCAATGACCTTAGCCTGAGATTCTTTGTTAGCCTAAATACTTTACAACTTCTCCAAAGATATGATGCATTGATACTTGCTCCAACAATATCTTGCCTGGTGCCCTTTGGAATGACTGGTAGAATCTATCTGAAATCTCCACCTAACACCATGGTTTTGCCACCAAAAGTCATATCCAAGCTATTTGGATTTTTGGCACGCATGATATCTCTCATACTATGGTCTAAAGCTTCAAAGCAAAACTTATGCATCATCGGTGCCTCATCCCAAATGATCAACTTACATTGCATTATCAATTTTGCCAAAGGACTGCTTTGGCTGATGTTGCATGTTGAATCTTCATTAACAACAATTGGTATTGAAAATCTAGAATGCGCAGTTCTACCTCCTGGTAATAGAAGCGATGCTATACCACTTGATGCCACATTTAAAAATATATCACCCTTTGACCTTAAAGCAGACGACAATGCTCTCCATAAGAATGTTTTTCCCGTTCCACCGTATCCATAAACAAAAAATAGCCCTCCCAGATTGTTCTCAGCATCTTGCAAAACATTTCCATATATAGCCCTTTGCTCTTCGGTGAGTTGATGCACCAATTTTTCATTCTCTTCCTTCTTGACATTAATATCATATGCTAATTCCTCTTGTATCAAACGATTGGTGGTTCTATCATGAATCTCTAAATCCAGTATTGGCATCAACGAAAAGTCTTTCAAACTCTTTCCGATAGCAGAAAGCATTATTTCTATCTCCCGAAGTGCAAAATTCTTTTTCTCATCTTCAGATAAAATCAAATCTGTGATAATATAATCAATCGCATATTTTAAGTATGTGTATACAATAAATCTGTACAAAATGAAATTACAAATAGAAAATTTTACCTGTAATCCCCAATTGAGCTCTAATTTTGAATTGTGCATCCTCAGCCAAATAGTGCCACGCAGCTTCCCACACAACTTCAGGTTTAGCCATTGAGTTTGACATTAATAGTGTGACAAACAATCTTCTCAAATTAACACTGGTCGCCCATTGACTTGCTTCTTCTATAGCATGAACATATTCCCTGTCGTCGTCTACTAATCCCCTGGCAGAACACGCATCCCTAAAAGAATCATATTGCACACCATCTACTTTTTTTATGTCCAAAAAACTCGTGGGCCCTTTTACTTTATTCAAAAGACATCTCAAATAAAATATCTCCCCTGTACCAGGTGACACATAGAAAACTCTCCCGATGGCAAATCCTCTTTTCCTTGGTTGCCATTTCCTAACATCTTTCTTCCATACAAATTTAGTTGGCATTTTGGCATATGTAAGTTGTTTTGCATCTGGGTAGGTTTTATTTGCCTCAAACCATTCTAAGAACATGCTTTGTAAGATTGTTGGACGGCTTAGTATGTTATCAACTGGATCGTCATCTGCGAATACAACACTTTGTTGATTGGGCAAGTGAAAGCTCAATCGCTCAACAGCTGGTGTCCTTAACTGTATATCAAATCCAAACAATCGCCAAGCTGCTTCACATGGAGAGATATACCGACAATCATAGAACATATTGATTTCATCGATAACTTTTGGACTTTCATCATCGATGTTGGATTTGTAAAACTCTACTGTAACCCTGTCATGGCCCTTGTTTACGTACTTGAACAAATACTTGATTGAACGGGACTGATTACACCATTCCACATTAATATGAGCCCTATACTTTAGTAACAAATGTCTATTGTGTGGTACTACGTACCTATTATCCAACTGAATACCATTGCGCATGACAGACCTGCCATTGTCTCGTCTGCGATATATAGGATAACCATCCTCGTCCACAGTTGATGTATTAACAAACTTCTTGGGAAAGTGTTTAGTACACTTACCATTTGCCATACATGGAGAAGTCATCCGTGCTTTCCCGCAAGGGCCATGCACCATAAACTCCTCAACAACTTTGAAGTATTCTGGATCTCTTTCTTGGTCAGGAAATTCAGCTGAAATAATGTTGTCCAGATTTATCCCACTTTGTGCTCGATTGTTTTTATCCAGAAACAAAAGTATATGAGCATGTGGTAGTCCTCTTTTTTGAAACTCTATAGTATAGATCACTGTTCACAAAGAAAAAGGATAGTCATTTTATAATATAGCTTAAACTTGTGACATTTCTATGGATTAAAAACTACAACATTAAAATAGTATCTTATTTGTCACGTACCTCCAATGACTGGGCCAAATAACTTGTTCTTTCGGCATCTGATAGTAGAGCATCCAACTTCAATTTGAATATTCTACATATTACGTCTGGACGATCTTCTGGCCTTAGATTTCTTGTATTCAAGAACCGTTGTACCTCAGGCCACTTGGGGTTGCAAGTAAATGTGATGAACAAATCTGGATATCCAACCCATCGACAAATCGCCATCGCGTCCTGGTAATTTTGTATCATGTATCTAGCACCACCGGTAAAACTCAAAGGCAATATTATTCGTTTTCCTTGAGTAGTGGGGTCAAGTTCACCTCGTGTTAATGCATCATTCAAGCAATTATATGATTCGCATCTCAAACTTTTCTGATGCGTCCTTATATATATCAACCTTCCGGACTCAACCATCGTATAGGCATCAACCAGGAATTGCTGGAATAGCCTTCTTGCATGCAATAACGTTGAAACTTCTGATATTCTAGACTGGATACGGTAAGAAAAATATTCTCTAGGGCTTATCCTTTGACGACCACCAGATGTGTTTCCCTTCAACGTTGAGAAGGGAATGTCCTCCCTATAACCGTCTTCACCATAAGGAAACAATAAAGGATATTGCATCGGCAGGTAAGCAGGATTCAACTCAGTGATTCGTTACAAGAGACCGCTCTTTGTTTCAACCAGAATTTCGCGTTCACCAATATTAGTATCGATATCACCAACAATCAACGCAGCAACCTCTGAGACCTGTGGCAAATTGTATGTCCTAGTATCCCTTGATCTCTTACCAAGCAATTTGATCTTAACCTCAGCCAGTGGGTTCTTTTGTAGTTCATCTCGTGCCATGCGAAATGTTTTTACCAACACATTGTGTTCATCCAAAACTGATTGAATCACATTGACAATTTCAACATGAATGTCGTTTCGCTTACCATCTTGCCTAAAATGTAAAACGGTGAACAATTAGATTTGTAATAAAACTACATCATAACAACTTTGATAACATAAAATGCCACACACTTACCTAACAAAATTGACACGGTTGTCCATTTCATTGTTGGTATCATAGATATACAGCTGTGCGAAATGCGGTTTCATGCCATCTACCGGCAATAGACTACCAATGTAGTGGAAGTTTTGGCCATTTATACGGAAGATTGGGGGACCACCGTTTTTGTTGACGTTTCGGTCTATTTTACCACCCATCGAAGTGAAGTAGAACATACTATTGTATGTTCTAATGTTCTGTAGAAATTCTTTGTTTTTTTCTGATTCTCCAAAAAAAAAGATCATATATCGGTTGCGGTGGCATCAACATGTATGGCAATTGAATCTTACCATTGTTGCAACACAAGTTATATTTCGGGTGGCCGCGATTATCTGTTTTGTGTGTCCTTTCTTCGTACCAAAACAGCGCTCCACAGTGTTGACATGTTATAGTCGCATCACCAAGATCTTGGTATTCCACTAAGTAGATAATTCAAAACTTAATAAATCAAACTGCACTAAATTAATTAAAACATCGACATTTAGTAAACATACCAGTATTGTAAGCAGTGGGTTCTGTAACTTGAAAGTCATTTGTTTGCTCATCACCGACGTGGTTACCATTTGAAGTTCCAACTGTCGATTTAATTAGTACTGTGACTTGGTTTGTGCATGACGTCTCGAAGAATTGCTTTGTACCTACCAAGTACATAAATAATGTTATTTATAAATTTTTCCAAACATATCGAAAATATCGTAATGACATTGTTACCATTTATAAAATAATGACTTACCATTTGCACCTTCTTGGATATGTTGTTGTGTAATTGGTGACAATCCTAAGCATAATATATGAAATTAGTTTCCCAAGAATAATAGTCCCTTTGGGCGTAAGCACTAAATATGACTTAAACAAAGAATAACACCAATAAACTTTTGGAAAGTACTACTATTTAACATTATACGTACCGTTATTTTCTTTCGCGGTTTTTGAAATAGTATCCATATTGGAAACTTCTTCAAAATCTTGAAACAAATCCCGGTTGACAACATTACACTGGATAATAGTTTTACCCTTATCCATGCATTTCCTTTTGTTGCAATTTGTGTTACCTAAAAAATTTATAGTTTACAACTTAGCTAGCATAATAAAATAAACATTTATTAAGTTCTATAAAATGATGTAATCAATACTTACCATTGGATATATCCTTTAGAGGTGGTCGTTTGTTCTCAGACATTGTGTGGGTACCTTTTATATAACAAATTAAACATGGAATTTAAAAGATTTTTTTTATAGCATGTAACTGGAATACAAACAATTAAGTAATTGTGGTCTAAAATGTAAAAACCCACCGTTAAGTATATCGCTTGTTTCACTCGAAGAGAATGTATTTCGACATCCTAAAACAAAATGCCTTGATTTACTGTTGCTTGTTGTATATTCCCTACTACGCGTACTAATTTGTATATCCAAGGATTCTATATTAACTGAAAAAACATAACACGTTTGTCATATGTTATCTATTGTAAAATAAGTTTGTACAATCTTTAAATAGTTTACCTGTTGTGAGAGCACTTTTTGGCCTATCACTTGAATTACAATACGTTTGTGGTGTGTATTCCATTTGCGGATCATTAATATTTTCTTCTAGCATGGTATGGTTGTTCTCAACATTTTCTGCAAAGGCAAACATCCAAACAATAAATAAGTAACATATTTAACTTGAATTATAAGCTATATATTATAAGAATTAGTGCATGAAAAAAAAACGTAAATACATTAACCATGGTCCACACAGTACCGTGATACATAATTAAAAACAAATTTTAAAAGTGCAAAATACAAAGTCAAAATGGAAACATTTTTGAAAACTATTACAACCTATGTATTATACGAAATAATGCATTAATTAAAATAGTGAATAAATTAACCAGGGTACACACAATTACGTTATTAATAATTAAAAATAAAATTTAACAATACAAAAGGCAATGTAAAAATAGTAACATATATTGTGTTATCTATTAGAAGCTATGTAGTATAATGATAGATGCATTAATAAAAATTGTGAATACATTAACCATGGTCCAATACATATACTGTGTAAATTAAAAATAATTAAATTAAAAAATACAAAATGCATGGTCTAAATGGTAACAAATTTAAACACTATTAGAAGCTAAGTATTATATGAAATAAGTAATGAATTAACATCGTCAGTACATTAACCGTGGTCCACACAGTAACGTGAACCATAATCAAAACTAAAATAAAAAAAAGGGTAAATGCAAATAATGTACATTCATTAAAAAAGTAATGTACCTTATATACAGAAATACTTAAAACAAGAATTAATTTCACTTTTGGTCCCACAACTTTTGATGTTCTATCACTTTTGGTGCACAACTTTAAATTTTTTTAATTTTGGTGCCTAACTTTGTTATTTTTATCAATTTTGGTCCTTTCGGCCAAATTGACAGTGAAATGTTGTTGGATTTTATATTGTTAGGGGTAAAATCGTCATCCCAAGGAAACATCTTCAATATCTAAACAAAATCACCGTAAAATCATATCTATAGGTGTTTGATGATGAGAATAATGGGGAAGATGGGCAGAAACCAGACAGATCTATGGGATTTATAGTTTCGACCATTGGCAAACTCTTCTTTTCCTCTTAATATGATTTTTCTTTTGTTTAAATATTGAAGATCTTTCCGTGGGATGACGATTTTGCCCCTAAAATATAAAATATGGAAATATTTTACCGTCAATTTGGCTAGAAGGACCTAAACTGATAAAAATAACAAAGTTAGGCACCAAAATTGAAAAAATTTAAAGTTATGCACCAAAAGTGATAAGAACTCAAAAGTCGTGGGACCAAAAGTGAAATTAATTCCTTAAAACAATTAATCTGAATTCATAATCACCTATTTAAATTTTCGTTAGTTATTATTGAAGTATGGGTTGTATAATGATAAATGCATTAATAAAAATTGTGAATACATTAACCATGGTCCAATACATATACCGTGTAAATTAAAAATAACTAGATTAAAAAATTCAAAATGCATGGTCTAAATGGTAACAAATTTAATTATATTAGAAGCTAAGTATTATATGAAATAAGTCCTGAATTAACATCGTCAATACATTAACCGTGGTCCACACAGTAACGTGAACAATAATCAAAACTAAAATAAAAAAAGGTAAATGCAAATAATGTACATTAATTAAAAAAGTAATGTACCTTATATACAGAAATACTTAAAACAATTAATCTGAATTCATAATCACCTATTTTTATTTTCGTTAGTTATTATTGAAGTATGGGTTGAAAATCTGAAAATCTCTATAATTAAACATTCCCCTAATCAGGCCCAATATCTAATGATTTTAATCCAAAGCCCAAATCATTCCCAAATGTTTGATAACCCATACCCGGCCCACTTCTCACCCATAACACTCACCTCACACCCTCCTTCTTCCCAGCGAAGTATCAGCTACCTCTCATCCATATCCGAATGCGGACATCCATATTTCTTTCTTCACTCTTGAGCTTTGTACAATTTCAGGCAATAATCTTTATGTCCGTAAGGTCTTCATGACCTTTAACATCTGATGAGGATGGATTTTCAAAACCCTATCTTCATTTCAATATTTATCAGCCAATCTTCGTTCTCATTCGAAGATCGTGGATTTGAGTGCCCCCTTCGTTTGTTAATCGAAGATTTTACTATTTTGTTGGCGATTTCGTTTTTACTCTTCCAATCTGAAATTTGGGTGCCAGATCTTCGTTGTTTACTCGGAGATCTTCGATTTGAGTGTCGGATCTTCGATTTTCATCGTCTCGCTTCGTTTTTAGTGGCCGATCTTCAGATCGATTGAAAGATTTGGGTTTTGATTAGTCCATCTTCGTTTCCACTGGTATTTTCATGGTTCTCGGGTTGATGTTACGATCTAGATACAAATCACTGTCCTTTTTCAATCCAATAGCTATCAGATAAGTTCCCTACAAATTTTATTCTATTACTATGTTCTATCGTATACTACCACAATTGATTCTAAATTTGCAGATCTGTGTACAAATGTCGTACAGTGTTCATCACCGTAGAAAGACATTCCAGGCATTTTTTCAGCATTCGTCGCTCAGATAAGTGAAATAGAAACAAACATTTACCTAAAATCGTAGATTAGCATAGGGTTTCAGAAATTATTTCTTAGGGTTTAAACTAACTTAAATACTCTTATCTTTTAGGGGAGCAGTGTTCATAATTGTTTGTATAAGAGAAAGATGGGAAGCTCAGGATGCATAATAGGATGTGTTCATTGAAGTAAAAGCAGAAACTGGTAAACTTAAATTTAGAGTTTTAATAGTGTAGAGTATACCTTGATTGTTGATTATGTGCTTCCTTTTGCTCCTTATTAGTGTAGAAGAATGAGTTTTCCTCATGTCCTGATTTGTGATTGTAGTTTTTTTTGAAAGTTACTGGTGAATAATGATTTGTGATTGTAGTTTTTTTCCTCATGTCCTGATATTGTTTTGGATCTTTCAATAATGATTTGTGATTGTAGTTTTTTTCCTCATGTCCTGATATTGTTTTGGATCTTTCAATAATGATTTGTGATTGTAGTTTTTTTTGAAAGTTACTGGTCAATAATGATTTGTGATTGTAGTTTTTTTTGAAAGTTACTGGTCCTATTACATTGTAGTATCTGTTCATATACTTTGTTTTGGATACTGGTCCTATTACATTGTAGTATGTGTTCATATACTTTCTCAACCTGCTGAAACACAAAGAACCAATAACGCCTCCACTGAGGCTCGAACTCATAATCTTCCAAATGGAAGTCCAACCCGGGTACCATTAGACCACATAGTCCTGGTTTTATGATTGTAGTTTGAGCATTCATATTTGCTATATTTTGAATGCTTTAGTCGCTGATAATCATTAATGTTTACACATGTACTAAAATGATTATGACTGTTCAGTTTTTTTTGGAAAACCAAAATGCAATAGTGTATTGCTGTAATTGAATACACATGTTTCCCCTACTATTTTTGCACTTATTCTTTTTACAAATTTACTAACATTGTTTTTAAGTATTGGGCAAATGATGAACTTATAAGTCTGATGCCGTTATATAAAAGATTTAGAATCTATCTGTATATTTTTACCATTTTTATTTAAAAATTATCAATTGTGTGATTTTTAAA